CAGAATGAGAGCCATCGTTGTATTGGCAAAAAATTTGGCAGCGAAAAAATTTGATACAAAAATCTTCTTTACTGCATTCTGGCGTGATATGAGCAACTTATTATTTAAAGGATTTGCAATTTTCTCAAGGATTATTCTATCAGCTTATAATAAGAAGTGTTTGTGAAACAAAAATTATTTTTCTTAATGCACATTATATATATAATCTGTAACCGTGTTGAAAGTGGGATTTAAGCAGGCATCCCGATTTTGACGAAATTAGTTCTGTTTTCCAGGTTAAGAACTCTGAATTGCTCTTTACTGGAGAAGAGTAAGAATCTATCATATTGGCGTGTTGTTGATTAATTCACGGCGTCTGTGTAGATTTGTTTGTTTTTCTACTACATTAGCTCTCTAATGATCTCTTTTTATACTATCCTTATTAATATTTTTATTTTATAACCGTCATTTAACAGCCAACCCAATTTTTTGAGTGTTACGACTATTAATGTTCAATTCCGTAGCCTTTTACAATTTTGAACCTAATCCAGAAGAAAAGGGAACTCCTGAATCATGTATTGAGAGAACTTAGCCTTCGTGGAAGACTTTTGATGGAACTAACCCGCATTTGCGCTACGTGGAGAGGAAGAACACGAGAACCTTCTACAGATAGCCTGACGGCAAAGGGACTCTAACCCATGATCCGTCTACCACTGAGTATATATCAAATCAGTTCTGTGGTCGGTGCAAGTCGGGTGCAGATTCGTTTCGACCAGCCATCGCTGGGGAATCGTACCCGATTCATCTAGTTGGAAGGCGAAAGCTCTATCGCCTGAGCTATCGCGGCTTATCCTTATTAATACGTCATAATAGTCATAAAAATTATTTCTAGTCCAGATTATTATTGTTACTGAAGATTTATATCCTCACAAACAATAAGGATTTAGCTCGATAAGTAGCACTGTTCTGTTTTGATAACCTCTGATCATGAGATAAATCCAGGTTTTACCTTAGAGGAATGATTTCTGATCTTAGATCTTTTTGATCTTAAAGGAGTTAAGAGTTTTGCCCGGTTCTGAGTATCTTCCCTCTTGATATGCGTCTATGCTGCAAATGCTGTGGAGTAAGAAATATTTACATCCAAGGCTGAACAAAGGTTTTACGGGTACCAGGACAAAATTTATCGACTGCTCCATCTTCAAAGAAGAAAAGGACTCATTTTCATGTTTTGTTAAATGTTTGGATATCCTTTATACAGAATTGTAGTTTTTATCAATAAAATGAAATGAATATCGATAAATAAATAATCGATATAATGAAATTCTCTGCCATTTTCTTTTGAAAAACATTAATAAAAGAGTTTTGTTAAGTGAAAGCATTGCTAATTCAAATAGTGAAAGCATTGCTATCGTTATTTTAAACAATCAATAACTCTAGAGATGTGGACAATTAATGAAAAGATAAATAACATCAAGAGGGAGTATAGCTTTGTTGGTAAGGGAAAGATGTGCTACTTGGAAAACTAACTTTCATCAATATCCATACAAATAAAAACTCCGATGAATTTTGTTTCCCAAATAGCACATTTCATCCTCTCCAACAAAACTTTTCCCTCTCTTTAGGTTGTTTCTCTTTTCACTGATGTCCACATCTCTAGTGTTATTGATTGCTTAAAACAATGGTTGCAAGAATTTCACTGCTACTTTATTGAAATTAACGATATTATCTCCCTTGTCAATTCCTGTGTTCAGCAATCTGGCTTTCAAATCAATGGTAATTTCTATAAACACATTCTATAAACAAATGAGAGCCATGGACAGCCATCTATCTTTCTTTCTTTGACATATTCATTCTTTATGACATATTCATGCATTATTTAGAAGAAAAGCTCATATTCTCTCGGTGGAAAAGATGTATTGGCGATGCGTTTGTCTTAGTAGACAGAGATACTGACTTTCAGGTACTTTCCACTGTCAACTAAATTGACTCCAACATTCAATTTGCTATGAATGCGGAAATTAATTTTACTTCATCATTTTTCGATGTTCATGTAACTAAATATCCTGATCCTTTTTACACCTCTAATTATCGTAAACATTTTGCTATCTGTTTGCCCCTTCATGCATATTCTAATCACCCTGATTGTCAGAAAATTTATGATTTTCATACTTTTGTTTTCCGGACACTAAACCTTTGCTCTGACTCTTCTCCTTTAAACTCCAAACTTAACTTCCGCCGTTCGCTTACTGCTAACCGCGGATTTAACCTTGCTATAATTGATTCAGTTTTTGCTAAACTTGCGAGACCCTAACGCCCTTATTCTGATCCATACAGAGAACTCTTTTCATTGTTTTTCTTTTCCTTCATTTGTCATAAAATTGCTGATATTCTCTCCCGTTTTGGTTTTAAAGTCATTTTTATGCCTAATTGTCAGAAATTTTCTGCCTTTCATACCTTTGTTCTGACTCTTCTTCTTTAAACTCCAAACTTAACTTCCTCCGTTCGCTTGCTGCTAACCGCGGATTTAACTTTGCTATAATTTATTCAGTTTTTGCTAAACTTGCGAGACCCTAACGCCCTTATTCTGATCCATAGAGAAAACTTTTTTTATTGTTTTTCTTTTCCTTCATTTGTCATAAAATTGCTGATATTCTCTCCCGTTTTGGTTTTAAAGTCATTTTTATGCCTAATTGTCAGAAATTTTCTGCCTTTTTATACCTTTGTTCTGACTCTTCTTCTTAAAACTCCGAACTTAACACCCTCCGCTAGCTTAACACTCACCGTGGATTTAATTCATCTTTAGTTGATTCAGATCTCGATAACTTCACTAGACCTAAACGCCTCACACTTTCTAATTCTTACAGATAACTTGTTATTTTACAGTTCTTTTCCCCACCTGTTTGTTATAAAGTTGCTAATATCTTCCCCTGGTTTGGTTATAAAATCATTTTTAGACTTGTTATCAAAAATGTAATTCTCTTAAAGATCCTGTTATTTTTGATAAAGGCTGGGGCATTTACCCTATTCCTTGGTTGCATTGGACAAATTAGACGCCTTTTAAAATTTACATTTAAGGAACTTGATAGATATGTCCGTTATATAGAATAAGAAAAACCATCAATTGCTGCACATTGTTAGAATTTTGGTCATAAATTCTACGGAAGAAAAACTGTAATTGCATTTATCTGAAGGAGCTTTCTTCTACGTCCGCATGCAATCAGAATGCTCTGATTGGAGGTTGAGTTTGATCCCAAAAAGGCTATAAATACAAGCTAACCCTTAACTTAGATGTTCTTTTCCATTAGTCCTTTTTCAGTGTAAGTTTCTAGTGTGTAATGTACTAATATGTCGTTCTGATATCCATTTATCTCTGAATTAGATTTCAATAGCTAATTTAATTTCGACGATGTCAAAATTATTTCCACTCTAATCTCATCAGCTCATCTTGATGCCTCGAAATATTTATTCATATCATTGTTGATTCCATTGTTAACGACATTAGTTTCAAACCACCTCTCCATAGATCATGGAAATGTATTTACCCTGATGTGACCCTCTCTACCACAGTGGTTTTTCTTGTTCTTTTTCCACGTTTATTTTTATTCTTTTTTCGGTTACTAAGGTTTTTTTTAGTTTTTTTTCTCACCACTATTTTCTATTTATCACTGACAACTTTACGTTTTGTATTTCACGTCACTTTTTTTTTCTTTTCAATCACGTCTGTCATACAAGTCTTAAAATGGGCGTCTATTTTTGAGATCTTGAAACATGTTGACTGATATTTCCAATCTGTATGTATATTTTGGAAGGGAATGAAATTTCTTAAGTAATAGCTTCAAAGTCAGCCTTCTCTATCCTCAATGCTTTTTAGCTGGTGTTTATAATATAGTTTACGTAATTTTTTACGTTTAATAGTAAGTGTATGGTTATAAAAAGTGCTCATTTTAGAAATTATATTAACATTTGAGGCTGACAAAAGAAATAATTCAAAAGAAGCATCATTCTTCCCAAAATAAAGGAATTTAGTTTATTATGGTTCGCACGGTCCAGAATTCAAATATTTATTTATAAGAACTTAAGTAACAAGCATAGTACTTATAGAATTCTTAAGACTTTCTTGTTTTATTAATGGCCAAAACTTATTTGTTAATACATTAATTTTTCAATTTTTATCGATTTCAGAAATAAAAGAAAATTCCAAAATAGATTATTTTATAATAATTAATTTTTTTTCTTGAAATAATTAGGGGGTAGAACGAGTCCTTCTATTATAAAAAAACCATTGACAAAAGGGTTTGTCATTTTTTTGAGAAAAAATATGAATGAAATTCAATTCACAACAGTAAATTTTTCTTCTTCAAAAACGTACAAAATGCAAGTTTGTATTTGTTAAAAATATGTACAAAATATTTACTTCAGACTCCTTCAAAAAATAATTTTTTGAAAAATTTAAATTCGTACATTTTTATCACTAAATATGGCACAAATGGTATAAATTTTTAAACTTTTCTATAAAAGGTATGTATCTAAAAATAAACTAGTAATTGCTATTAACGATTTTGATAAAACACGGTTTAAGTGATAATACACAGAAAAAGTAATTGCTAACAAAATAAACTTTTAAATAAGGACATCCATTTACTTTATGAACAAGTAAGATTATTAATAATATTATCATTAATTTGTGTTAAGTTAGATAAGGTAATGAATGAATAGTTGCAAAATCATTTTTAAACGAATTGAGTTAAGAGGTTTCCTCCTCATTCTAAACCTTTTGTTTCGAAATAAATTACAGCATTTCCTTTATTTAATTAAATATGTTTTCGTAAAAAAAGTAACGCACGTTCAAAAATTATCAGTATTTGCCTAATTGAATAAAACTTCTTTAATAACTAAATTACCTCATTAAGTTTTATTCGTTTTTCGTATTCTGTCTGTTTCGTTTCATAATCTTCGCCGAGATGGAAGAAATGAAAAGTACCATTAAAAATGTCATTGTATTCGAAGAACATAAAATGGAATTTACAAACAAAAAGCTACATACTTTATTCACAGCAGTTTATTACAGCTTATCATAATTTATTTCACCATCCGGGTACATTACAGAACATGCATTTAAATGATCTAATGATCGAACAAGAATTTATTACAGTAGGTGTGTTTTAATTATGAAATCAGTGATAATGTAAAGAAAACTGAGAAAACAGCTTCATCTACAGACATACGGACGATAATGAGAGGTCGACTTTACGAATAGCTTCATTTCCTTTTCTGAAACAAAATAGAATATTTAGTGCATATTATAATATCAATTTACACTAAATAAAATTACAGTTCATTTATCAGTATTAACGCTATTTTTCGAAGCTCTGTCGCCAAACCATAATTTAAGCGCCTCATACTTGAAGCAATGCGATTGGTTTTAAACTATATACATAATCTTGCCGTGAAGAATGACCTGTGCTTTGGAACAGACAAAGAACTTAAATATTTAAAAAGTTATTAAACCTTTTTAAAGAAATAACCAAGTCTGTTACATTTTTCTACCTAGGTAAATTATCGAAATCACTACATTATTCTCAGTTTTTGCAAATTTTCATGAGCCCAAGTAATACAGCATCTTAGTAAGTTTTTAAATATTAAAAAAATTAGACCATAAACGCTTTTTATTTTCATAAAACTGTGGCTTTTCTCCATATTGACGTTTTGTGACATTTTCGAAATAGGCGTAGACAGCACTGGCTTCAGATAGGCTAAACTTGACCTAACAGTCATGGTTAGCAGTTACAAACTCACAGCGGTTATAAAAATAGCATATTAGTCGCAAAAAAGCATTATTTCGTATTACATTGGAGTATTCGAAAGACAGCCTTATTAGGAATCGAAGAGCTGAATTGAAGATAATTTTAAATAAGCTTAAATCAAGGCTGCATCGGGAAATGGATGTGTCCCATTAGTACTCAGTTTGTAGCTGGTGAAGTATTGAATAAAATTTATACTTAAATAAATAAATAAAATTTATAGTTTTCCCCGGCTGAAAACTAGCACCAGTTTAGTATCGCCTTATTCGACTTCTTAGTAATTACACAGTTATTACTGGCAACAAATTTCAGGACGTTTAAAAAAGGCTTTTCACAGGAGAAAAAAAAATCAGTTTTTCTCATAAAGTTCTATAAATATTGTTATTATTTTGTTCTTTAAATTTTACTATTTTTGACAAGCAACAAATTTAGTTTGCATAATACGCGTCATAGAAGAGTTAAAGTTTTATGCGCTAAATGATTCATTCAGTTTTAAAGGACTGTATATTTACATGTATAAGACAAAAAAAGACGAATGGTGCATGGGAAGATACAGGCACGTACTACAGATCTGGTACGTACGACACATGTTCAATTATATGCAAACTTGTTTACCCGATTAACACTCCAATTGTAAACTAATTCCGTCCGTATGTTTCTATCAAAATCCACCACAACAGCAATTGTGTGTTTCTGCCTTGTTATTGGAGATACATAAACAAATGAAAGACCAAGTTTATATACCCCCAATACCGATTTGTGAATTTCAGTATTTATGTACACACATAGCCAATAACAATGCAGAAAAACATCACTACTACTGTGATGGATATTGATAGAAACATGTTGAACATGTTGATATTGTTGTAAACATGTCATTGAATGTGTAGTCGAAATTGGTTCACTATTGGGATATGTGTATAGCAAAAACGATGGTTGCACATATTGAACATTTGCAGTATGAACCAGACACTCTAAGAGTATATGTTTCCAAGTATTACTCGTCTTAAGGTCTGGTTTCTTAGGACAAGCGCCTTATCTGGGCGTCAGCGGGACGTCAACGTCCCGCTGACGCCAACAAAATACTGGTTTGTTAGCTCAAGACCTGGTTTCTTAGAACTAGCGCCTTATCTGGGCGTCAGCGGAAAGTTGACGTAGAGCTGACGCCAAAAAAATACTTTTTTGTTAGCTCAGCGTGAGCAGTCGGTCCAACGCAGACATTATCTCTCATTGCGCATGCGTTAATAACGTAAACAAATATTTATTTTGAATTTGTATTGATTTTGTTATTGTCGACCAGTGTTTTAGAGAACAAATAATGACTTTGTCCAAGAAAAAACACATTATAGCTGAGCTAAATGAAGAGTGCTATGTTTAATGAAGAAGCTATGTTTAATGTCAAAATCAAAATCTTGGCTGATTTCAATGTGCTGTTGGATGTTGTCCGCCATTGCTTCTGTGGTTAACGTCACGTTGTAATCCAACTGCAGTTGAGTTGGACGGCAATTGTAGTTCAAGATGAGCGTTCGATGACGTATACTATCAAACTCACAAATGGACCAATCAGAGGTTAGCGCTGATTTCCAGCTGACGGCGTCCTGTCCTAAGAAACCAGGCCTTTTGTGTGTCGTGTGCTTGCAAATAAACAGGTCTTTGAAATTAAATGAATCATTTAGTCCAACTCTTTATTATAGTTATTCTGAGAGCAAGACATATCTCATAAGATATATCACAAAATAGCAGTCTAAAATTGTGAATCAGTTCTGTTGCCAATAAATTATTTCTTATTTATTCATTTATTTGTTTCAGTAAGAACTTTGCTTTGCGATTAACTGAACAATTTAGAATAAAATACAGGCATTATAACGCATCTTGATATTATTATATGATTGTTAATTCATCAGCAATTGTTTACTTGTTATAAATTTTGAAAAAGAGGAACCAATTTTAAATGCATTTGTTGATTGTATGTTACATTCCAGAGAATAAAAACAACACGCCTTGATAGCATCCAGGATTGCTCCACCCATATCTTTAAACTGAGGTATAATCGACTGTCCAACTAATTGCGGAATAAACAGTGAAGACATTTTATGTATCTGTCAACGAGATTCTTAGCTGTTCCGAATATTACTATTGCTGAAATCAAATAAAAGGAAGCAAAAGGTCTGATTTTTTGGAACAGATACTCGTAACAGGTATTTATTGTTTTGGATTTTAGTAAAAATTCTTAAAATTCTTGTTAAGAAAAATGAGCGTTACTTCTATTTTAAGGGCTTTGGATCTAAGAGTAGTGATATAACGATACAAAAAAAAGTTTTAGTTTCTTTTAAAAATTTGATTTATAACTAATTTTGACTCTTTATGACTAAGGTTGACTGATAACTTAAGACTTTTGGTAAAAGCAATAAATGGTTAAGCTGGATTTCTTTATATTAAAATAATAAATCTGGATATTGCTTTTCTAAAACTAAGTTAAAAACAAGTTCTTTTTAAAACTTGTTAAGATAAAACAGATCCCTTCATTCTGCATGCTATGATCACAATTTTTATGGTTATTCTTGAATATATTTTTCGAATAAATTTTCCTTCCTCACAAAGAGTTAAATGGTTAAGGTAGATTTATTTAAATAAAAATAATAATTCTGTACTTAGCTTTTCTAAAATTGTCCTAAAATCAAGTTTTTCTAAATTTTTTTCTTAATATTCATCATAGTATTTGTATTTTTGAACTTCTTTAAAAAAACTGAGTCTTTATTTAAAAAAAAGTCTGTTTTTAATCGGCATTGATAAACACGAGAAAAAAATCGACCTAGTTTAGAAACCTCAGTTGTACTTTAAGCATCATAATGAATCCAAAATAACTGAAACATTCTTTTACTAAATGCGAAACAGCCTTTATTTATTATTCATCACAATTTTTATGAACAGAAAACTGAAAGTAAAATTCTTACTACTGTAAAATAATGAAAATAAAAGCGACTGCGTATGTCAATAATGACGTTCATTTTCTTTTCCTTAATATATATTTTGTTCCAGCTACTTTCCCTTAGGGATTTTTTTCAATACAATGTTTCCCCTCACTCCTAACTTTTTTTTTGGGGGGGGGAGTAAAAGGTGTAAATATTAATGTTCACTTTCAGGAAATGCTAAGGAAAATATATATTCTTAGAATATTCCAGAACATCATGCTTTAATGTATTCAGCAAACAAGTATTTTTTGTGATTTCAAATATTGTAATTTCGGAACAGAGTAACAGAATTGATGCGGAATGTTTTTTTCCCTTTTAAACTCTTACCGTTTTTAAAAAAAGATTTTATTTGAAAAGTAACTGTAATTTACATGCATTTCAGTTTTGGTAAGAATTTTTCTTGTCTACAAAAAAACACTGTTTTGGCATAAAATGTCAACAATAAAATATTCCAGAGACATTAAATGTGACATAATATTCAAAATTTAAGCATTATGTAATAAATAATCATAATTTATCTTTACCGCTTTCGCTATTATCTTCTCTATAAAAAAACTTTAAATGTCATGATTTAAATAAAAGATGTCCAAACTCATTATGGATATTTTTAAATATATACATAAAAGAAAAAGAAATTTTTGTTGTTTCGAACAAAAAATAAAATTAAATAAATTACATTTTGTTAGAAAAATAAATAAAAAAAAGAATAGAACGATATAAGTCTTCTGACAATTTTTTATTCTAATAAGCTTGGTAAAAGCTGTTTCCTAAAAATTAAGTATTCAATAGACAAAATTATACAAAGGAAAATTATGCTTTAAAATTCTATTTAAAATAAAAATACACATCCGACATAAATTTAAAATGTAAAATAGAAAATGTTATATTTTCCTGACTTGTACATTTTGTTATTCTTAATGATCTTTAACGGGTAAAATTCTAAATTATTTCTTCTTATTGGGTCACGCAATTTGTATTCGTACGTTAAAATTTTAATTTTCGTACGTTAAATTTGGAATACTTTTTAAACTGATATTATCGTTTATTTAGTTATGATTAATAGATCAACGAAAGATTAGGTTTTTTTTTGCAGAAAATATCGACTTTTAGGAAAAAAATGTGGGATGAGAAGCAATCATGGGGTTTGTGAGCAGAGTCTACTAAAACAAATTTTTTTCGCCACCCTTGTGTCCATCAGAGAGGAATCTTGCAATTTGCCACCAGACTAAATAGAGCATTCAAATATCTTCGGAACTCCGTGCCTGTTGAAAATATTAAAATTCTTTCTTTGCAACTATAAAAAGAATTTATCACCATTTCATCTCCATTGAGAATTTGTTATCGAAATTCAACGTATATCAAACATTTTACCTCTTTCTGACTAACTATAACGCTGAAATATCATCAAGAGCTCTATGTCTGATAGCAATACAAGTTTCAATTGCTTCCTGACCACTATAAACAGAATTTACCGTTATATTAAAACCAAAAATAATTT